AACTTGGGACCCTTCAGCTTCCCTTCTGGGCCTTCAATGTCCAGTTCTGGACCCTCAATGTCCACCTTTGGACCAGACACGTCCAGGTCTCCTTTGGGGAGGTTCACATCCACCTCGGGGCCTTCTGCTTTAAAGCCAGGCATGCCAAACTTGGGCATCTTGAACTTGGGCATCTTGAACTTTCCTTCTGGGCCATGGATGTCCACATCAGGTGCCTCGATGTCTACCTTGGGGCCTTTGATGTCCAAATCAGGAGCTTTCAGCTCTCCCTCCACCTTAGGGAGAGACACGTCCACGGCCCCCTTGAGCTTGGGGCCCTTCAGGTTGAAGTCGACATCGGGCATGGAGATCTTGGGTGCCTTGATGGGCATTTCGGGCATCTTGAACTTGGGCATCTTGAACTTCCCTTCAGGGCCATGGATGTCCACATCAGGTGCCTCAATATCCACTTTAGGGCCTTTGATGTCTAAATCAGGAGCTTTCAGCTCTCCCTCCACCTTAGGGAGAGACACGTCCACGGCCCCCTTGAGCTTGGGGCCCTTCAGGTTGAAGTCGACATCGGGCATGGAGATCTTGGGTGCCTTGATGGGCATTTCGGGCATCTTGAACTTGGGCATCTTGAACTTCCCTTCAGGGCCATGGATGTCCACATCAGGTGCCTCAATATCCACTTTAGGGCCTTTGATGTCTAAATCAGGAGCTTTCAGCTCTCCCTCCACCTTAGGGAGAGACACGTCCACGGCCCCCTTGAGCTTGGGGCCCTTCAGGTTGAAGTCGACATCGGGCATGGAGATCTTGGGTGCCTTGATGGGCATTTCGGGCATCTTGAACTTGGGCATCTTGAACTTCCCTTCAGGGCCATGGATGTCCACATCAGGTGCCTCAATATCCACTTTAGGGCCTTTGATGTCTAAATCAGGAGCTTTCAGCTCTCCCTCCACCTTAGGGAGAGACACGTCCACGGCCCCCTTGAGCTTGGGGCCCTTCAGGTTGAAGTCGACATCGGGCATGGAGATCTTGGGTGCCTTGATGGGCATTTCGGGCATCTTGAACTTGGGCATCTTGAACTTCCCTTCAGGGCCATGGATGTCCACATCAGGTGCCTCAATATCCACTTTAGGGCCTTTGATGTCTAAATCAGGAGCTTTCAGCTCTCCCTCCACCTTAGGGAGAGACACGTCCACGGCCCCCTTGAGCTTGGGGCCCTTCAGGTTGAAGTCGACATCGGGCATGGAGATCTTGGGTGCCTTGATGGGCATTTCGGGCATCTTGAACTTGGGCATCTTGAACTTCCCTTCAGGGCCATGGATGTCCACATCAGGTGCCTCAATATCCACTTTAGGGCCTTTGATGTCTAAATCAGGAGCTTTCAGCTCTCCCTCCACCTTAGGGAGAGACACGTCCACGGCCCCCTTGAGCTTGGGGCCCTTCAGGTTGAAGTCGACATCGGGCATGGAGATCTTGGGTGCCTTGATGGGCATTTCGGGCATCTTGAACTTGGGCATCTTGAACTTCCCTTCAGGGCCATGGATGTCCACATCAGGTGCCTCAATATCCACTTTAGGGCCTTTGATGTCTAAATCAGGAGCTTTCAGCTCTCCCTCCACCTTAGGGAGAGACACGTCCACGGCCCCCTTGAGCTTGGGGCCCTTCAGGTTGAAGTCGACATCGGGCATGGAGATCTTGGGTGCCTTGATGGGCATTTCGGGCATCTTGAATTTGGGGCCTTTCACTTTGCCTTCCGGGCACTCCAACTCAATATCAGGTGCATCAACATCCAATTTAGGCCCTTTAATCTCTATTTCTGGTCCTTTCAAGTCACCTTCAATCTTAGGAACCGTAACATCCATCTCTCCTCTCGCTTTAGGTCCCTTTATGTTCAAATCTACATCGGGCATGGATATTTTCGGAGTTCTAATGTTCAGCTTCGGCATCCTGAACTTAGGCCCTTTCCATTTTCCTTCTGGCCCTTCGACGTCTAGTTCTGCCTCTGGTCCGGAAATTTCCATTTCTCCTTTTGGCAGATTCACATCTACGTCGGCCCCCTCAAACTTTGGGCCGGACACGTTGAAATGGGGCAACTTCACTTTAGGCTTTTTTAGTTTGGCCTCCGGACATTCCAGGTCCACATCTGGGCCCTCAATGTCTATTTTTGGACCCTTGATATTAACAGATGGCTCCTTCAGGTCACCTTCTATCCTTGGAACAGTAACATCCATCTCTCCTCTCACCTTATGCCCTTTTAGGTTCAGATCGACATCGGGCATGGATATTTTAGGTGCTTTGATGTTAAGTTTTGGCATTTTAAATTTGGGGCCTTTAATTTTCCCTTCTGGACATTCCAGGTCTACATCAGGCACCTCGACATCCACTTTGGGACCTTCCACTTCCATTTTGGGCCCCTTGAGCTCTCCCTGGATCTTTGGACCAGAAATATCCACATCTCCTTTCAGTTTGGGGGCCTTCAAACTGAGGTCTACGTCTGGCATGGAGATTTTGGGTGTCTGAATATTCAGTTCAGGCATTTTAAATTTGAGACCTTTTGCTTTTCCTTCTGGCCCTTCAATGTCCACGCTTGGCACTTCAATGTCCACCTTGGGACCAGAAATATCCACCTCGCCCTTTGGAAGCGTCACGTCTAGGTCAGGGCCTTCTCCTTTCAGGCCGGGCACCCCAAATTTGGGCATTTTCAGCTTGGGCATCTTCAGTTTAGCATCTGGGCCATGGATGTCCACGTCTGGTGCTTCAAGTTCAACTTTGGGGCCTTTGATGTCGAATGCAGGTGCTTTGGGGCCAGAAACATCCAGGTCTGCTTTGACTTTGGGGCCTTTGAGGTTCAAGTCGATGTCGGGCATGGAGATCTGTGGGGTCTTGACGTGCATCTCTGGCATCGTGACTTTGGGGCCCTTGAGTTTTCCTTCAGGACCTTTGATGTCCAAAGAACCAACGTCAGCCTCCACCTTTGGACCCGAGACCTCAATAGCTCCCTTGGGAAGTTTCACGTCCACTTCTGGCACGTCTCCTTTGAGGCCAAACTTGGGCATTTTCAGTTTTGGCATCTTCAGGCCGCCCTCCGGGCCATGGACGTCCAAGTCTGGTGCTTGGAGGTCGACTTTGGGGCCCTTGAGCTCTAATTCGGGGCCTTTCATATCAACGCCGACCTTGGGGACGGAGACATCGACATCACCCTTCACTTTGGGGCCTTTCAGGTTCAGGTCAACATCCGGCAGGGCTATTTTTGGGGCACCGATGTGCATTTCGGGCATTTTCACCTTGGGGCCTTTCAACTTGCCTTCTGGCCCTTCAATGTCCACACTTGGCACTTCAATGTCCACCTTGGGACCAGAAATATCCACCTCGCCCTTTGGAAGTGTCACGTCTAGGTCAGGGCCTTCTCCTTTCAGACCAGGCACCCCAAATTTGGGCATTTTCAGCTTGGGCATCTTCAGTTTAGCATCTGGGCCGTGAATATCCACGTCTGGTGCTTCAAGTTCAACTTTGGGGCCTTTGATGTCGAATGCAGGTGCTTTGGGGCCAGAAACATCCAGGTCTGCTTTGACTTTGGGGCCTTTGAGGTTCAAGTCGATGTCGGGCATGGAGATCTGTGGGGTCTTGACGTGCATCTCTGGCATCGTGACTTTGGGGCCCTTGATGTCTACACCAGGCAGGTCCACCCCAACTTTGGGACCTTTGATGTCCATCTGAGGTCCTTTCAGGTTGCCACCTATCTGCGGGCTGGAAACATCCACCTCTCCCTTCAGTTGAGGTCCCTTCACGTTGACGTCCACATCCGGCACGGATATTTTGGAAGGCATTGAAATACCCGGCCCTTTCAGGGAACCTTCTACGCATTCGAGTTCAACATGAGGCGCCTTAATGTCAATCTTGGGACCTTTGGCGTCAAACCCAAGTCCTCTGATGTCCCCTTCCATTCTTGGGCCGCCAACGCTTGCATCTCCCTTCACGTGAGCACCCTTCAGATTCAGGTTTACATCAGCCATGGATATTTTCGGTGTTTCGGTCTTCCGGA